TTCTGGAACCAGATCTTCACCTGCGTCTCGGTGAGGCTGAGGGACAGCGCCAGGCTGAGGCGCTCGCACACCGACAGGTACCGCGTCGCACGGAACTTGTTCTCCAGGGCCACCAGCTGCTCGTAGGTGAAGGCCGTCCGCGCCCGCCGCGGCTTACCGCACCCCGGCTCGGCCCGCCGCCGCCTGCCGCCCCGCGGCGAGCCCGGCTCCTCCGCCGCGCCCGGGCGAGCTCCGGACCCGCTGCCGTCCGCGGCCGGACCCTCCTCGTCGCGCTCGGTGCCGCTCTCCAAGGCGGGGTACGCATCTAGGCGAGATGGCGGCGCTGGTCAGGGGGGTCTGCGCACCCTCCTCCCTCACCTCCCCTCAGACACCCCTCGGGTCCCGGCTCTGCTCCTCCGACACCCCCCAGAGCCATAAAATAAGAGAAATCGTTAAAACAAGATAAAGGTAAGGCGAAACACCCCCACCCCCCCCACGCCCCCCTCCCCCCCGCGCTCCCCGCTGTGCCACTGCACCCGCGGTGGGGAGGGGGAAAGCGGCGGTATGGATTTCTTACCAATTAAAAAAGAAAGTTATTAAAGTCCCCCTTGTGAAGCGAAATAAATCCCCTCCTCCCTCCCACTCCTCCCCAACCCCGCGCTAATGGAGTTTCAGATTTGCGAGGGCCGGATCGATAGATGTCATCTATTAAAGGTAAGTTTTAATCGAACAATATTAGGATCAGGCTGGGGGAAGGAGGTTTGAAGTGGGCACCTGCAAGCTGCGGGCAGGAGATAGGCGGGAGTCGGTAATAGGATATCGATCAACGGGAGCTCAGGCATCCTCCGGTGGGAACGGGCTGAGCAATTACCCGGCCGGCCCGCCGGGGCAGCCCACCCCTCCATACCCATCCCCGGGCAACGGGGACCAGGGGCAAGAGCCGGGGCGGACATGAGGATGCCTCAGGAGCTGGGGTTGACGGACGCACACAGAGAACTTTTCCCTTCGCATCATCCATGCTTCAAATCCAGCTCCAGCCCCCCCTTCCCCCGCGCTGCCCGTTCCATCCTCCTGCGGGAGCCCCGCACTGGGATCCTGCACCGGGAGCGCACCCCGAGGAACCGGGAATGAGGATCCCGTCCGCCGGCGCCTCCACCTGCTCGCCCCGCCAGCACCGGCCGGAGAAACTCGAGCGCGTTCCTACCATGTGCCTCTAGTTTATTCTTCCCGCTGCCGAGAGCAGCAGCGTCTTTTCCTACTTCAACTCTTCCCAAACTTTCCTCCCGTTCTCCCGAGCGGGGGGCGCTGCCCCAGCTCCCCGCGGCCGGTTCGCGTCTCCTGCTGAATTTCTGAGGATCCAGGATGTCTAAGATGGAGAAGGAGATTTTATGATGGATGGGGGCCGCCTTGCCCCCGCGGTCCGGGCATTCCGGCATTCCCCCCCCACCCTCCGCGCTTCCCGGAGACCTGCTGGCTCCCAGCGCGGAGCCGGCGGAGGCTGCGCGGGGCCGGGCCGCCTCCCAAGCCGCACGGCGGGGAGCTGGGCGCGGAGTGAGCGCCGGGGAGGAGGGTAGGGAGGGGAGGGGAAGGTGGCGGAGGGGGGGGGGAACAGAGGAGGGGGCAGCGCAGCCATTGGCACGCCGCCCCCGAGCCCCCTCCCCGCCGGCTCCTTTCTTCCGTCCCTCAATCCCTCCATCCCTCAGTCACTCCATCACTTCGTCCCTCTGTTACTCCATCCTTCTGTCCCTCCATCCCTCTGTCCTTCCATCCTCCCATTCGTCCATTACTCCATCCTCCTGTCCCCTGTCCCTCCATACCTCACTCGTCTCATCCCTCTCTCCTTCCGTTTCTCCATCCCTCTGTCCCTTATCCTTCCATCCTCCCATCCTTCTGTCCTCCCATCCTCCATCCCTCCATGCTTCCATCCCTCATCCCTCCATCCCTCTGTCCCTCCATCCCTCCATACCAGCCTACCTGTGGCCAGGCTTTCCTGTTCCCTGCCGCAGGCTGGGCGGAGGGATGTGCCGGGGCAGACAGGAGCCCTGGCCCCAGGGCCAGGTCTTTGGCTGGCACAAGTGTGTCACTGCTCGTGGAGCCACTGTCCCCTGGGGTCCTTCTCCACCACCCCCCACCCCACTGACCTGCGTGCAGCCCCCAGCTGAGGAGTGGTCCTCAACCTCGTGTGACAAAGGGACCGAGAGAGGAGGGACAGCTCCTGCATCCCTCCACTGCTCCAAGCAGACTTCAGGATCAAAGTGCTCTGCTCTTTCAGATGGAAAATGTTTTTTTAACTGTTATCTAATATCTATTTTAGATTAGATATTAGGAAAAAATCTTCCCTCTGAGGGTGCTGAGGCACTGGCACAGGGTGCCCAGAGAAGCTGTGGCTGCCCCATCGCTGGCAGTGTTCAAGGCCAGGTTGGACATAGGGGCTTGGAGCAAGCTGCTCTAGTGGAAGGTGTCCCTGCCCGTGGCAGGGGGTTGGAACTGGGTGAGTTTTAAGGTCCCTTCCAACACAAACCAGGCTGGGATTCTATGAAACCAGAGGGAGAGATGAGCAACTCTTCATTTTGGGGCAGCTCAGGATTGGTTTGTTTCAGACCCTGGGCCGAGGGCTGGCCTGAACTCAAACTCAGTGAGCAGGCAGGGATGCTGAGGCACAAGGTGCTGGAGAAGCACTTGCCCCATGTGGCAGCCCCCTGACAGGTTCTCCTTGCCTTGAGACACTTCATTGTCTGTTCAAACTTGTAACTGGGACAGGGTGGGCAACAGCAGGGCCAGCCTCTGCCCTGTGCCAGTGCCATGGCCACTGGTAGCCAGCTGTGCTTATTATAAACTTGCTGGCAGTGTATTTCTGCACATTTGTATCTGCTCAGGAGGAAGCCTTTCCTTCTCCTTAGTGTCTGTTGGTGGTGTGAGTCAGGCTGAGGTGTGGATGAAGGAAGAGGCCCTCCTCGACTGGAGAAGGCAGCCCTCGGTGGGAATCTGCTGTTTCTGCTTTTACCCCTAGGAAGAGGTACAGAGCACAACCCTCCTCCTATAACAGGTGATCCAGCAGAGTTGGGATTCCTGTTTGCTATTGCAAAGGCACAGGCCTTAAGATAACAGGAAAACGAGAGCATGAAGATGTTCAGGGTGATGTAACTACAAGTAATTCATAGAATCCCAGGCTGGTTTGGGTTGGAAGGGACCTTAAAGCTCACCCAGTTCCAACCCCTGTCACGGGCAGGGACACCTTCCACTAGAGCAGCTTGCTCCAAGCCCCTGTGTCCAACCTGGCCTTGAACACTGCCAGGGATGGGGCAGCCACAGCTTCTCTGGGCACCCTGTGCCAGCGCCTCAGCACCCTCACAGGGAAGAGCTTCTGCCTAAGAGCTCATCTCAGTCTCCCCTCTGGCAGGTTAAAGCCATTCCCCTTGGCCTGTCCCTACAGGCCCTTGTCCCAAGCCCCTCTCCAGGTTTCCTGCAGCCCCTTCAGGCACTGGAGCTGCTCTCAGGTCTCCCCTTCAGGAGCCTTCTCTTCTCCAGGCTGACCCAGCCCAGCTCTCTCAGCCTGGCTCCAGAACAGAGCTGCTCCAGCCCTGGAATCAGAATACAGACATTTCTGGTTGAGTTTCTGTGCCTGCAGGAGCTGAGAAGGTAAATTGCAGCACTGAATTCGAGACATCCAAACATCACCGGTTTAACATGTGCACACACACCAACACACAGACATGCTTGTGCAGAGGCACACATGGAATCCCCCACCCTCACGGATCAGTTTTAGCAGTCTGTTTGAAGTTGATCTGTTTCTCAGCTCAAGCATTAAAATTCCACCCAAGTGCTGTCTTCAAATTACTTTGATGCTAGGTGGGTTTCAACCCTGACCTGTCCTGATGGCAAGTGATGGCTGTAACAAGCTGTGGATCAATATTCATAGCGGGTGTCCTGGGCTGATAACACCATCCAAGACAATGTTCGCTATCGGTGGAGACAGCTGAGATATTGCACCATTAGGAATGTTGTTTTAAATAACCTGATCCATTTCTGAGTCTATTTAATGAATTTCACAGTTTAGATATTATCTTTAAGGGAAAGCCAGAGGCTATTCCAGAAGCAGTGATGCAAATCATTTGTGCCAAGTCTCCTTGGATTTTCTTAAAGTGCACTATAATTCCACTGCAGATCCTTATATATTCTGGGAATTGTGGCATGCTATTGATAATGTTAGCCATAAGAAAGCATTTGGACTTTATTGAGGGGGGAAACAGTATTATCTGTAAAGCTGCATCACATTTGATAACATCTTATCTGTGATTGTGAAAGTCTTTACATGGCGAGACAGTGTTTTTTTCCTCTCTTGTCTGTCTGTATGAAGTAGTGGGCATGGATGAGAAGATGCCATCGAGGAAGCGCATGGCCCTGTCAGCATCCTGAGCCTTCTGCTGCCATGTGATAGGTGCCTTGCTCCCCAAATCCTGCTGCAGCCCATCCACCCCAAACTCACTCATATGAAGGTGTTGCTGAGGGTCAGGAGCCCCTCTAGGAGTGACAAAAGCAGGGTGGATTTTTAGGAAGGCATCCCCATGCCTTTCCACAGCCTCTGATCCAGGTGATGTCTGTCCTCAGGGACACGACATCTTCCCTGTGAGGGTGCTGAGGCGCTGGCACAGGGTGCCCAGAGAAGCTGTGGCTGCCCCATCCCTGGCAGTGTTCAAGGCCAGGTTGGACACAGGGGCTTGGAGCAAGCTGCTCTAGTGGAAGGTGTCCCTGCCCGTGGCAGGGGTTGGAGCTGGATGAGCTTTAAGGTCCCCTCCAACAGAAACCAGTTTGGGGCTCTGTGTGTCTGAGGGAGTTTATCACAAATCAGGAAGCCAACCCCACACTCACTACACCCGCCTGAGGTGCTTTAACGAAATGAACGCGTTAATTGCTGATGGGAGGCAGCCGCGCAAGGTGCGCATCGTTACACCGCCCGCCTCCGACTACATTTCCCAGCAGCGCCCGCGGCTCGCTTCCTCGGCTCGGCACCTCCCTTCGGCTCCGTTCGGGTCGGCTCCTCGCGGCGTGCGGACCATGGCGGCCTGGTCGCGGGCGGTGCGGGGCGTGCTGCTGGACATCAGCGGGGTGCTGTACGACAGCGGCGGGGACGGCGGCGGGACGCCCATCGCTGGCTCGGTCGAGGCCGTGAGCAGGTGGGTGACAGGCGGGGCCAGGCCTGGCACTGACCCCCTCACCGGAGGAGGCCGAGGCGGGGCCCGCGGCGGTTGTGTGAAGGGGGGGGCACTCCAGGCATGGCCCAGCACAGCCACTGCGGGCCCGGCCCTGGGCTGTGGAGCTGCACCCAGAGGCCACAGGATCAGGGTTACCCCCCCGGCTGCTCAGCCCCGTGTTTGCTGTGTGAAGTTGAGTGGGACAGCACAGCGAACGGGCTGGTATTAGGCATGTTTAAGGTGTAGGGGGGGTGTGTGTTTGCTGGGCTGATGGGGAAATGAACCGTGAGCAGCACCGGCAGCTCATACCCTGCTTGGGTTTTGTTTAGTCGTCATCACACATGCAGTGGGAGCTGGTGGTGCACAGGTCTGGCCTGCTCCCCTGGTGATCAGTTTTAAGGTACTGCCCACGCTGGCATGGTGCTGCTGTCAGCTTTGCTCCAGGCCAGGTTGGACACAGGGGCTTGGAGCAAGCTGCTCCAGTGGAAGGTGTCCCTGCGCGTGGCAGGGGTTGGAACTGAATGAGCTTTAAGGTCCCTTCCAACACAAACCAGTCTGGGATTCTATGATTCTATGAATTTAGGTGGGACTTCCCACAGAGAACTGACACCCCAGCAGACATCGAGAGCTTCAGTGCTGCCGTTAATGATTGCTCAGCTTCTAAGTGACTCGAAAGCAAAGTATTGTCATGGCAAGTTACTCACCAGTGCCCACAGGTCGTGAACCCTTTCACTTTTAGCTGGGTAGTGCAGTCCAGTTAACACAGGAGAAGTAACCATTGCTAAACAGCAGTGGTTTCACTTGGTGAAGTTAACTGACTGCAGTTAACTAGGTTGACTTGCTGGTATCAGCGCTGTTTGACCAGAGGAGCAGGATGGGGCCAGAGGAGAGCAATGGCCACAGGGCTGTCTTTGTTTAAAGTGAGGTATTGATTCCTGGGTCTACTCTGCTGGAGGAGGGAGGTCACAGGTTTCTGGAAGAGCCTTTGGTTCTCTGTGATGTTTCAGTAACCTGCTGCAGAGCATCCAGATCTCTTTCTTGTGGGGAGTGCTGCCATGTGTAACCCATTTGAAAGGTATGTGTCTAAATGCTGAACCCCTGTGAATTGCTGATTGCCTTCTTGGTGAGCATCTCTGTGGCTTCTGGGGCCCCCCACCACGGGCACACCTGTGGCAAGTGCTTTATCAAGCAGGGAAATACACAGCAAGAAATACTGAAATTGCCAAAATTGATCATATGAGTTTAGCTAAATATGTGCCTTAACATTGGTGGAGCCACCATGGAAGAGGCAGAATTGGGGAAGACTGAATGTACAGATGAGGTACGTTAGTGTAGGATGTGTTTGATGATAAGCTCACCAGGAGCTTATCAAGCTCAGCTTAACAAGTTCAGTGTGCACTTGAGCCCAGAACCCCCCCTGCGTGCTGTGCTGCACCCCCAGAGCATGAGCAGCAGCTCATGGAGGGGATCCTGTCCCTCTGCTGCGGTCTCTGGGGAGACCCCCCCCGCAGCCCTGATCCAGCTCTGGGGCAACAGCACAAGAGGGAGGTGAATCCTGTCTCCTATGGGACGGTGTTGAACACTTTGCGCAAGCGCAGGCAGGCGTTGCTCTGCCCCTTGTGAGCGTGTTTGCTGACTGCAGAGGGACAGGCACAGCCCGGGTTAAATTTCTCTGGCTTTCCTGCTTGTCCCGCTCAGATCCTCCTGGTAATGTTGCTTCTGCTGAGGCTGATGCGGGTGGTTTGTTGGTGGAAGTCTTCTGCTCTCCATCTTGCAGAGGAGCACATCTTCCTACCTTCCTTTCACGCACTTTCTGCTGGGACATGGCATATGCTGGGACCTCTTCCATGACCAACCCAAACATAAATAACAACTTCATAATAGCTGCTGGTGAGAAGATCATTCCTTTCACAACCATGACATACTCTACAATATCTGAACCACTTTTGCCATATTGTTGTTTTTTCTGTGAGGTTTTTAAACTTTATTTTATGCTGTGTTGCAGGCTGGTATTAAATAACTTTTGTCTCTGCCTTTGCTGATAACCTCCTGTGTGGAGGCAACATTAGCTGCAATTTGTCTTACAGCAATATTAGAAATACAGTGATGAAACAACAGTAAAACTCTGGCCTTGGGCTAAATGTAAAATATTCTGGGCTTTTTCTTGAAATCCTGGGAATGTGGCATTCATATAAGTGGTTCAGTATAATCAATTTCCTTGGGTAGGGTTAAGCAGCTGTATTTATCTGTCTCTTAGTTATGGTTCCAGCTCCCACCATTTAAGATTGTTATTGACTCGTTATCCTATTGCCTGTTGGTCATTAATTGTTGTGTCTGTGTCACAGCAGAGGTTGGTGGTTTCAGGCAGATGGATTTAAGCTAAAAACATCTCTTCTTTTAATGAATTCATGTCAATTACTAAGTCATAATTGCAAATAGCTGGGAACTTTAGAACTAGTTCATATTGATGTGATCTTTTGTTACGAGACATGTCTGAAATCCTTCAGTGCACATGTATAGGAGTCTTAAATGCTGTTTTGATCATTCATATTGCATTATGGACTCTCATAATATGACAGCTGACCTGTTCTCTTCAACTTGCTCTTGCTACATCATCTCCCACACCACTGCAGCAGTTACTACACGTTCTTACACTGAGTTACACAGCAGTGAAGGTAATAAGTAAACACTTTGATTTGCAGTGAAGCCATTTCCACTTGTTAAAACTATGCTTGCAGTATTTTCCTTGTTTTCAGCCAGATTCTGCAGTTATTGGAGTTTGTACCTGAGAGAGTAGCAATGTGATTTCTACCAGCAGAATTTGGCCAGTTGTATGTTTATGATGCCTGCAGGGGGGCGGTTCTCTCTTGTTTGAGAGAACAGCAGCAGTACAGTCAGGTGGAACAGAAAAGTGACTGAAGGAGCTGATGGACATCATCCTGACCAAGATGAGATCAGTAACACACTCCCCAGTGCTGTAGAGACTCTTCTGAGGAAAGCATCAGGAGTCACTATCAAAGCTGGTACAACTTGTGATGAAACACACAGTGTTACAACTGGGAAAGCTTTATTTATTGCTCACATGTCTGCATCACTCATCAATCTAAGTGTGAAATGTCTTAATGTTCGCTCTGCACTGACAAGGAATTGGTAAATCAGAGACCAAAAGGATGAACCACAGAGTATTTGTTGTACAGAGCAGACCATCTGTGCTTAAGTAATGATAAAGTGAATCCAGATCCTTTGTAACTCATCTGGACTATGGCAAACAGGCACCCACGTGCCTAAGGGCACTGGCACCCCTGGTTTGACCCAGAAGCCATGGTGCCAGGAATGTTATTAAATCCACCAGGGACTGCTAATATTAACTTTAGGTGGGGATATTGAGTGCTGGATGACTGGAAAATCCAAGAGCAGCTTGGTAAGATAATTTGGCTCTTTAAAACTTTTAAACCCATAATGTTTCTTGCTTGTTTAATTTACTGTGGCATATGTTTTAATGAAGTCAAATAAAACACAGAGTTAAATAAAACCCATCTCTGAGTGTGTGCAGTTAACTGTCAGACACGGTGGAGCAGATTGGAAAGCCCATGGACAAGATCAGAAAGCCCATCAGGGACTTAAAGGCTTCTTCTGGAGTCAGCCTTAACAGTGCCTCTGCATGTGCTGTTATTGTCTTAACTGATTTACACAGCATTGACATGAGGTGAGCTATTCACTTTTTAGCTTACAAATAGCAGGGAGCTGGTCTCTTACAAGACAGAAGGTGGTTAAACACCCATAAAAGATGTCAAGGCTCTGCTCTGTTATTTGCATTTACAACTGTGTGCTGATAGCATTCCCATTAGCATATCCATATGAAAAGCACACGGGAGTTGAACATTTACAACATCCTGTTGTTTGGCCGGTATAGTGCATCTGTTAGCACAACTTACTACAGGGTCCTTTAAAAGAGCAACGGAAATCTGGGGAGCAGGGAGGCTGAGGAGCAGCGGGACAGTCCTGTTGAAGTAGAATACCTGGAGAGTCTAACAAGGGGTAGGTTGGGAGGAGGACAAGCGGAACTGGAACTGTAAAGCAATTCAGCATGCAGGGGTTTGCCTGGGACAGTTGGGAGGTCACAAAGAGCCCTCTGAAAGTGTATGTGTGACAAGGAGCAGGGAATCTTTGTTGTCACAGAAGGTAAATGAAGCGTAGTTTAGCACAGTGCGTGCAGATGTTCAAAGTTTCAAGGCTCGCTGTGCCTCCAGGACATGCAATAGCACAGGAGTTGTTCCTCCTAGAAAGAAGCTTTGAAATAAAACCATACAAACTCTTGTGCAAATATCCATTTGTTTGTCTTTGCACTTAACTCTTTGCCCTTTCTAGCCATGGATCCCAAGGAAGGGTAGTGTCACTTGCCCTTTGTGAAGCCGCAGACACAAAAAGTTGAAGCACTTTGTCATGCAGAACCAGAAGATCCAGGTGTTGATCCTCAGTGGGTGCAGTTATCACTGCTTCATTCCAGTCTGTAACATTAACTGTGGCCTCAGTTTTCAGTGGCCCTTCCTAACCCATGTTTGCGTTCCTGATCAGCAGCGTTCATTAATTCCTTAAAAAGATCTTTGCCCCTGAAGTCGTGGGGACTCCAAGTGCTGTCTACACAAATTGCATGAGTAAGTGCTTATGCTTTTGGAATTTAATCATCATTAGGATCTTGAGCTACACAATTATGTGCTTTACAAATATTGACCAGCAAAGCATAATAGGAAATATTACAGTGATACCTACTGCCTACCTACCTAAGTGCTTGTTTGTCCACTACCTTGTGTAAACACTGATTAATCCCTGAAATGGGTGAGCAGCACTCTGCCTCGTTCTGTGCTTTAGAACTTGAGGCTTATCTCCGTTTACCACTGCAGTAGTAATTTTTTTCCCCTCATCTTTCCTGATTGCTGAGCTCAGCCTGGGATCTTAGAATTGAGCCTGATTCTTTGCATATC